TATAGTAGTTTCAGAATGCAGGAGTAGCATCAGTACAGGTATAATCCTTCTCTACTGGCTTAGTGGTTTAATAACAATACTTCTCCAAAGTTAGAAGGTATTCTAACTGCAAGTGTTAGTCTTGGTCATAGCATGCTAGTGGTGCAACTAGGATATGTTTGGACACCTATAAGGATAGCTGGATAAATGTCAAGTAGCTAATTAGATTAGCATAGCCTAGTATTAAATTGTAATACAGTTCAAAAATTATATATATACTTATAAGTATATCTAATAAAGGCTTTGCTGACTTTCTTAGCCAAGTTCAAAAAAATATATATATATATAACAAAATTCATCTCTATTCCTATAGGTTGTCTGTCATGAATACTTAATACTTATATATTTTATCAAAAAGCTTTAACTTTTCTTTTTTTGTTATATAGTCGATATTGTCTAATTGTATAAAAAAATTGTGACTTTTAATTATTAATATCAAAATAGTTCTTATGACTTAAATGCATATACTATTTATATATATAAAAAAGCTTTTAATAAATAGTATTCAATTAAGAAACTATACTTCAAGAGAGTTTTGAGGTAATAAAATACTTTTCTCTATATTTGAATTTTTATCTCAAGTCTTTTAATTACTCAAAAAAGGTATACAACCAGTTTCAAGCAGAAGAAATACAAAAAACTTGAAGTAAAAGTTCATATTTTTCTAGCTATTCTTATATTAACTCAAATCTACTCACTAAATAATATTATTTATAAATAAAATAAAGCTATATAAATATTTAACATTTGATAATTAAACATCATCTATAAATCATTGACTTAGTTGATTAGACAAGCATATTACTACCTACGACTATTCTATTTTTTGAGATAAATTTAGTCTTATCTTCTTATTTCTTACTATCAAAAAAATCTAAAAAAAAACTATTCTAATATCTAAAATGGTATTAATGATATTACAACAATCATATTAAATTACACTACTAGTGATCCAAATTATTAATCAAAAGACCAACTAGTTGACAACTAGTTAATTAATTAATTAAAAAATTTTTAATCAAATAATCATTAATTAATTATCTACATAATAAATTTTAAATATTAAATTTCTTTAGCTAATTAAATTGATACAAAAAATATGTGATTATTTACTTTACTAATTAAATTTATCAAAATACTACAGACTACTAGTATTACAAATCAGCAAAATTTTTTCAATCGATTAGTTGATTAATTATTTTTCTAGTTGATTGTAGAGTAGATAATATAGATTTATAAGTATACTTCTAAGGTATGTCTTTAGACTGAATAGTATGCATCTATTATATAATCACAAAAAAGATAGTTGTGAATATGATTGATTGATATGAGAATCAAAATTACAATATTACTACATGAATTCGAGTACTCAAGTTTATTATTTTTAAATATATATAAATTTATCTTTATATATACTGTGGTTTTATGAATTACTAAAATAAATATTTTATTAACTTGTATATTATTAAATAGAACTTATATTTTTTATTGCAATAAAAAAGTTTACAAATCTTATTATATTTATAGTTTTATTTTACTATTTTGCAATCATGTTTATTATTAATTAAGTGAATAAATTTAATTTTATCTGATTTTGATAGCAATATTAAATGCATTATATTGTAGCCTTGTTCTGCTAAGTTTGCTATAGTTGTTGTATAATTAGTGCTAATTTCTATATTCATAAATCTAATTTAGAAATATAATCTTTTTATCATAATATTGCATTACTATAGTTTAAAATAATCTTTAAGATATATATTGTAAAATAAATTTGAATTTGAGCTAATTTTACAGTTTAGAAGTTGTGATTATCACATGAATATTATGTATTTTATTATTTATTATTATTACTGCAAAATTATTTATTTGTATTTGTATCATTACTATATACTTACCTCTAATAATTTATTCAGTTGTATCATTATATATATAATCATTATGCATAATTCGTTATGTATATAATAATTATATATAATTTATTATGCATAAGATCATTATATATCACTTAAAAATAGTTTTTGATTAAATAGAAATAAAAATCTAAACAATAAAAAATTTAAATATTAGTAAATATAGATTGTATAAAAAACATATAAAAAAACTTTTATAGAGACAGAATTTAGATACTTCAAATATTTTAAATTAAATATTATTAAACTATTAATTGATACAAATAAATTATTAAAGACAACTCATCTGAAATTTAGATTGTATTTTGTTATTTACAATCTAAAATTTATAAAACAATCATTAAATAAAAAGTTAATAAAATTATGATGTAGATCCCCTCAGGTTTTATTATACTTCTTCTAATACAAAGTCTACATTGGTCTAGTTTTTTTTATTTTGAAAATAAAGTAGAAGAAAATAGATATATTGCAAAATGCAAATATTTTTAGTTAACCTAAATAGTAAACCTGAAAAGTTTTATTAGCATGTTATTCAGTATACAGACTAAAATATTACTAAAAAAACTATCTATCTTCATAAAGTTGCTAAAGAAAGTTCTTTATTTCATAAGTGCATCTGTAATGAAAAGATATTTCAATCAATCTAATTATCCAAGATGATGATAAAATATCAGAATCATTTATATCCAATCCTTATTAAGAAACTATTATTAAATGGTTTGTACTATCTTTATCATAAGTACAGTTTAAAAAACTCTACCAAAAATTTTAAAAGTCATGATTTATAGAAATACTTCTTTTTATCTTGTTGAAAATCTGTATTTTCAAGACTTCTTTAATGAGTTAAATCCTTTTTACTATTCTTTTTCTTAAAATATACTCAAGAAGAAGAAAAAAAAACTCTTTCCTAGACCCCTAAAAATCATTAAGTAAACAAAAATTTATAGTGAATACTTGTAAATACAAAGCTAAGATAAATCAAGCCTAAGTAAACCTGCAAAAAGATAGCAAAGACCAGACCAATACTACTAACTATAAGAAAAAAACAACCAACATCTTCGAAACTTACTAGTAGCCTCAACACTGAAAGGTGTTTCTCAACACTACCATCACGATGAACTTCTTTCTTACAAAAGTTACAAAAACAGCACCATGTCTAACCTCCAAACCTCAACCCAACAAACAACAGCCAAGTCAGTACAGTTAGCACAACCAAATACTCAAGCAAATATCATAAACCCAAACCAACCCACTCAAGATTCAAATAGTAATGCCAAAGCAGAGTTAGCAAACCAGGAACAATCGTCAATAATCAAAACAAATGAAGTGATATTATCACAACAACAAACCCTTGATGCACAACTAAAACAAATAGTAATTCCTACAGTAATGGATATGATACCTAACTTCCAAATAAGCGATATCAATCAATCAATAGATACATCAGATAGCTATATATTAAAACCACTACCAGATAAGAACTTGACTATATATCAGCAACTAGCAAATTGAAAAAAATTAAACAGGCTAATCTATAGCCAAGCAGCTGCACGAAAAACAATCCAAAAGGATAAAAATCAAAACAACTATTGGGTAGAAGAAATCTCCAATACATTAGAGAAATGCAAAAAAGAAACCTTTAACCATGAAACTTGGAATAACGATAATATATTAAAAGCACTTACAGAAGAATCACTCTTCAAAAAACTAATAAATCATAAGTTACAGACTACTATCCCAAATATAAACATACCAAAGGCAATTGCAAATAAACTCAAATACTGTGATACAGTATTCTTTAAATTATTTACCCGAGACAGAGGTACCCAACCCAGCTACCAGCTAGAATTCAACATCTTAATGAACATAGTATTAGAAAGATACAGATGCAAACACAATGTAGTTCTAGTAAATAAAACCAATCAAGTCCAAATTTATAATAAACTAAGGAAAAAGATTACAATTGATAGCATTCTCACTTTAAACATAGCCCAATACGGGGACCATGTTAGCACTCAGTATATATTTTACTTGATAAACTTTGGCAAAATAGAAACAACGATTGAATTCGAACAAGTATATAAACTAATTAGCCAAGCTCAAGCAGAAAGTCATACAGATTTACCAGAAAATCTAAACAAAATCCAAGTAGACATATTAGACATATTTCCTTTTATATTACTACTAAATGATAATAGCAAAATAGTAGCAGTAGTTCAGTCACTCAGACTTATATATATTTTTACAAGTTTGCCAGACTCATACTTTGTAAATGCTCGTACTTTCTTGCCAAACTATCCAAGCCGGCTACACTCAGACATCAAAGCAATCTTCCTAATTAAAGAATATAGCAACTTACAATACTTAGCCGAGTACCGAAAAAAACTTCAAAAATATTACATCATTAAAGAGAAATTACCAATAACTTATTTTAACTTACCTTCTGAGAAACTAAACCTATCATCCACATCACAAGAACTTAAGACAAGAGTCAAATACCTCTTTTCGTGCAAATCCAAAAGTGAAAGCGAATTTAGAGATTTGGTAACAACCCTTAGACAGTATTATAAATTTAAGAG